AAACAGTGTATATTGTTTCCATTATTATTATTATTATGATTATGATTGTTACTCCGTTAAATAGCCTGTTAAAGGTGTAACAAGAGCTCATGCTTTGGCACAGATTTTGCTTCCATTTTTTTAATAAACATTCATTAAAGTGTCTCAGTCTGGAGAGAGTTTAAGAAAATGTCATATTGTAGGAGGCAGTGATTAGTAGAGTGATTATTAAGGCACATCTTCGACCAGTAAGTGTATAAATGAGTGCAGATGAGCTGTCTGATAGAGGGGTAGAAGTTTTATTTGACATTCGTGAGGAATTCCCATTATTGTCTATCACATTGTATGAATGGAAACTGAATTCAGAAAACTGAATTTTAAAAATGAAGAACTTTTTTTCTTATCAGTTTTATTAGCCCTATAAACCAAGTAAACAATTCAACTGTTCGTCATGCGTCACACCAAGTGTGAAATGTTGTTAAAATATGCCTTTTATGACACAGGGCTCTATTTGTGGAATTTACATTATATGTTTTAAAATAAATATAGCGGTAAAAATAAATGTAATATTCTCATGGCATTTAACTCAATGACCACTGTCTGTTGGAGCAGAGAAAATCTTCATGTATCTAATATACCAAAGAAAACTTTTCATTGGAGGCGTGTTTGTGTATTGTTATAAAACAAACTGTCATTCAAATCATATGTTTTCAGGTGGCATTGCATAGTCCAGCGGTGGCGAACTCCGGTCCTGGAGAGCCGCAGCCCTGCAGAGTTTGTTCAGGTGTGTTTGATTAGGGTTGAAGCAAAACTCTGCAGGGCTGCGGCTCTCCAGGACCGACGTTCGCCACCCCTGGCATAGTCAGATCAATGCATTATAGTCTACAGAAATTTGTCAGTATTTTAATAATAATAATAAAAAAGTTTTGGTATCGCTGATTGTTATTGTGTTTTGAAAGTGTTTCATTCTAACACTTGTATAAGCTTTACATAAATTTAAGTGAAAAGTTAGGAACAATAACTATGGGAAAGGCTATAAATCAGGGCTGTCCAAACTCAGTCCTGGAGGGCCGGTGTCCTGCAGAGTTTAGCTCCAACCCTAATTAAACACACCTGAACCAGCTAATCAAGCTCTTACTAGGCATAGAAACTTCCAGTCAGGTGTGTTGAAGCAAGTTGGAGCTAAACTCTGCAGGACACCGGACCTCCAGGACCGCGTTTGGACAGCCCTGCTATAAATCTTTCCAACGTTCCAAGGATGTTCTTTTAAAACATTCTATTAACATAACCTTGAGAAAACCTTGCTAAAGTAAAAAAGTAAATTAAAAAGCCAAGGATCAGTTTCTCAACAACATAAACACTGATCAAGATGTCTCTCTCTCTCTCTCTCTCTCTCTCTCTCTCTCTCTCTCTCTCTCTCGAAAGAAGGACATTAGAACAAGGAATAGTAAAGATTGTGTAACAAGTTTATTTATTTAACTAATAAACTGAGTAACTGAAATAAACATTATATATTCTACAGTCATGTGTTTTAGTTGGTTTGGTCTGAGTTGGCCGTATAATGACTGGATATTGGTTTCTTGGCTGTGGCTGTGCCTCAGGAGTTGGCAGGCAGCTATACATCTTGCAGCTACATTTGCACAATCAGATTTTTTGCCGAGAATGCAGGAGAGTTTTTTTTTTGTTTTTTTTATTGTGGTGCAATTATTAAATTGGGGAAATACTTTAAAATATTTACTTTATAATAGTGGTGTGAGGAACCAGCTTCATTATGTTGGCCAATCATATTGTACCCGATTGGAGTGGACTCCACCCCTATTCAGATTGAGAACCCGGTAGTTGATTTACACAGTTCAGGCAAGTGTGCAGTTCATCAGAGGTGGGACTTTCAAGTCACAAGCAAGTCTTCAAGTCATATCCCAAGTCCTCAAAGAGTTAAAGTTAATGAGATAATTAAGTGACTAATTAAATGATGATTGTGCATTAGTGATGAACACTTGCTGTTATTGAGAATTACAGAGGATCAGATGTTGATGTTTTATTGGTTAAAATGATGGCACCATCATGGAGATCAGTGTTTGCTTTAGTTGGGCTCTTGACCCTTGACTTCTGATGTTAGACCTCTCTCTATTGTATTGCATGAGGTGTTGTAAAGCAGAAAAATCAGTACTATGTAGGTGTTAGTTGCTTATACATGATGAGAATGTTATCACGAGCTGTCCTGATTAGAACTGAAATATTTTTTTTTTCTGTTTATTAGTTTAGGTTTTGTCTAATCAGTCCTGTGACGCTACAGCATACAAACAACGTGCTGCTCTAATAGTTACAGAGAAAGTAATTTTAATCTTTACAATGCATATACACATTTTTACGCCAGTATTAGTTAGACACACATAGACATCAATAACCAGCATATGAATCTCAACAATGGTGACAATCAACAAAATGTTTCATGCTGCAATGCATGCTGGGTAACACCATAGTAAAAGCTCCTATCATGCACTTCAGTATGAATAATTATTGTCACCACTGTTGAGGATCATATGATAAGTGTTCATGTCTAAAAGCCTGAGCTGATACATCTTCCCTCTTTTTCAATATCAAAGCATTACGGAGGCATTTGTTTAGTGGGATTTCTTTTTTTTTTTCAGTTCAGTAATAGTTGAAGGTCAGTCAATAAACTTAATTTATACAAGTTCATTCATCATGAGTTATATGCAGAAAGTGTAAGCTCATCTGCTAATTTGAGGTTTTGATTCAGCAATGCATGAATGTTTGCTCTGAAACAACATTGCAATTGCTTAAAAACAAATAATTTTGGAACTAGTAAAAGTGTCAAGAGACCAACTAAAGCAAACCTTGACCACAATTATGGTGACATTGCGTGTGTGTGTGTTTTTTTTTCAGTTGATTTCATCCAAGGCTGTAGCTAAAGTCAGATGTAGTTAGTTTGTTTCTCTTTTCTTCATTGTGTTTCTCTTTTCTTCAATGATGTTGATTGTTAACAGCAGCTGTTCATCACTAATGCTCAATCATCACTTAATTAGTTACTTAATTATCTCATTAACTTTAACTCTTTGAGGACTTGGGAGGGATATGACAGACTTGCTTGTGACTTGAAAGCCCCACCTCTGCAGTTCATGCAATCTGTTAAATAAATGCAATCTGTTGAACGACTATAAAGTTCCTCTTATGCCATGGTGTCAGAAGCGCACGTTATACTCACGAGCAAGTTCACCCTGTTTTGGAAGTGATAATGTCCCAGTTCAACCCACCAGAGGCCTTTGATACCTGGCCTGCATGGATCCAGCAGTTCTCCCGGTTCCGCATCGCGATGAAGCTGAACAAGGAAAGCGGGGAAGTACAAGTTAATCCTTTGCTGTATGTAATGGGCAAGGATGACGAAGCGATATTCGGATCATTCATGTTTGCCAAAGCTTTACATGCAAATAATTACAAGACTGTTGTAGGCAAATTTAATGAATATCTCATGCCCAGGAGGAATGTTATTCATGAGAGAGCCTGTTTTCACCAGCGTACGCAGAGATCAGGAGAGACCGTTGAGGCTTTTGTGAGATGCCTCTGTGAACTGACCGAATACTGCGAGTTTGGTGCGAGCAAAGAGGAACAAATACTGGACAGAGTTGTCATTGGGATGCAGACCGTGACATTTCCCAGAAGTTACAAATGGAACCCGAACTGACAGTGGACAAAGCAGTCCAGATCGCCCCGGGGTCTGAGCTCATCAAGACACAAAATGCGAGCGGTGGAGCGGGCACTGAAGTGAGCGCTGTACAGCACGGACGTCACAAAAGCTCAAAACGCTTTACGGGTCCACCGAGAAAGGAAAAGGGTGGTGAGAGAAAACTAATTGTAGACTGCACACGCTGTAATCACACACACAATGAGAATAATTGCCCTGCATGAGATAAGAGGTTTGGGAAATGTAATAAGCTGAGACATTTTGCAATTGCATGTAAAACGAAAAATGTCAAAGAGCTTGTGGTGTGTGATAGTGAAACAAGTGATGCATTTTTCCTGGGGTCTGTAATGAATGAATCTGCTGCAGAGGACAGATGGTATGCTACTCTGCCAATTCAGGGCAGGTCGGTCAAATTCAAAATTGATACCGGTGCCGACATCACCATCGTGTCACGCTCAGTGTTTGAGAGCTTACAAGAGCGCCCCCGCTGGTCAAAACAAATATAAATGTGCGGAGTCCTGGGGGGAAAGTAAGTTGCATGGGGAAATGTCTAGTAAACACTGAAAGAAAAGGGGAAAGTTTTCAATTTTGGGTCTTTGTCATTGTTGGGCCATTTGCCAACAATTTGCTCAGCCGTAGCACTGCTTGTAAGATGGGCCTAGTACAGAGGGTGGATGAAATTACAGACCAAGATGATGTGTATTGAGACATCGGCTTGCTTAATTGTGAACCAGTGAAAACTGAGCTAAAGTCAGATGCTACTCCTTATAGTCTATCCACCCCTCGCAGAATTCCCTTTCCTCTGTTGCCTAAGGTTGAACAGGAGCTCAAACGCATGCAGTCCTTAGGGATAATTTCAGAAGTCACAGAACTGACTGAATGGTGTGCCCCAATGGTGCCCGAAGTGAAAACGAATGGTTCGATCAGGATTTGTGTAGACCTGAAACGTTTGAATCAGGCTGTAAAATGTGAGCGTTATATTCTCCATTATAACATTAGAGGACATTGCCCCCAAACTCTTAGGTGCCTGTGTCTTTTCTACACTAGACGCAGTCAATGAGGGAGGAGTTGTTAATCCGAATTCATGAAGGGCATCAGGGGCTCGCCAAGTGTCGTCAAAGGGCAAAGATGTCAGTTTGGTGGCCAGGAATAGGCAATGACATTAACAGGAGGGTTTTAATGTGCACGTTTTGTAGGGGCCACAAACCCACACAAAGAAGAGAACCCCTAATCACTACACCCTTGCCTACTGGTCCCTGGTGTAAAAGTGCAGCAGATTTATGTGAGTTGAATAGTAGAACCTACTTAATATTTGTAGACTACTACTCACGTGACATCGAAATAGCTCACCTGCAGACACCATCCAGCTTCCATGTTATCAGCAGACTGAAGTGCATGTTTGTGAGATGGGGTATTCCCAGGGAGCTTGTATCTGACAATGGCTCACAGTTCGCCTCGGCTGAATTTCGGCAGTTCTGTACAGACTATGATTTCCACCACACAACCTCAAGTCCTCATTTTCCCCAAGCCAATGGAGCTGCAGAGAGAGCAGTTCAAACTGCGAAACGGATTCTCCGCCAACCCGATCCTCATCTGGCATTGATGCGCTATCGTGCAACACCTGTAGCTGCAACCGGTCTGAGCCCTGCCCAGTTAATGACTGGTTGGCAGATTAGAACCAACCTGCCAATGCTTGAGGAAAAATATCAACCTCGACCCAATGATTGTAAAGCAGTGGAGAGGAAGGATACAGCTGCAAATAAGTCTTACAAGTTCTTCAATGACCGAAGACCCTCTGCTCGTGTATTGCCTGAATTACATCCTGGCGAGAAGGTCCTTCTTAAGCTGGATAGTGAGAGACACTGGAAAACACAAGCCGTTGTGCTGAACAAAACATCAGGACCAAGATTGTACATGGTGCAAACTCAAAATGGAGCTGTCCTGCACAGGAACAGGAAACATTTGCAAGCAATGCAATTGCAACCAGATGCTACAATCTGTGCTGAACCTCAAGGAGAAAAGGAATCAGCTCTTTCTGGGACTGGGACTGAACATTCAAATACTCATGCAGTTGCCCCAGCTGCACCTTTACTGGACATTAAACCACCAGTTGTGACTTCCAGTGGGAGAGTTGTGAAAACGCCAAAACGTTACCTGGACGGAAATTGACTGTTTCAGTTTACAGAGGCGGATTTGAGTTTTAATTTGTGGTTATTGTTGTAAAAAAAAAATGAAATAAAAAATAAATTAAATAATAGTGTAAGTGAAAGAAAAAAAAGAAAAAATAAGTACAGTAAAATTACATTATGTTGCTCTTTAATTTGTTTAAACTGTTGTTGAAGGAAACAAATGGGAATGTTGTGTTATAACATTGATAATTTGTTTCGTGTTAAAAGGGAAACAAAATTTTATTTTCAAAAGAGGGGAGATGTGTGGAACCAACTTTATTATGTTGGCCAATCATATTGTACTCGATTGGCGGGGAACCCACCCCTATTCAGATTGAGATCCCGGTAGTTGATTTACACAGTTCAAGCAAGTGTGCAGTTCATGCAATCTGTTAAATAAATGCAACCTGTTGAACAATTATAAAGTTTCCTCTTATGACAAGTGGTTTCTCATGGTTTGGTATTTGGGGCATTTTGAGGAAGTGCAGCTCTGTATCGATCTCTCCCAGACTGCAGTGGGAGCAGATTCTCTCCTCACGAGAGACCCACATCTGTCTGCACCAGCCCATCTCTATATGGCCAGACTGTGCTCGCCGAGTCTGTACATCGTCGATGTTTTCCTGAGTTTCACATCAGTCACTGTGCTCAGGTAGTTTGCCATGGTGTACTCTTGAATTAGTGTCAAATAACATTCTAATTTGAGTTGTTTTTAATGGTGTTTCTCCAATGGGTGACATACTTATCTTTCTCTGTGTTGATGATTTGTGTGGGCCGAATGGTTGAGAGTGTGTGTGAGTCCTGAGGCTGGCTTTATAAAGGTATGTGCTGGGGTCACTTGTATTTAGGTGTTTCCAGAATTTCAGGGCTGTTTTTTGGATGTTAAGAAGGAGAGGATATTGGCCTAATTCTGCCCTGCATCCATTGTTGGTGTTTTTCTTTGTACTTGAAGTGTTCTTTTACAGAAACCTAGATGTAGAGTTTCAGTTAGATGTTAGATGTTTTTCCCAATTTAGAAAGTCAAATTTTATAGATGGACCCCACACCTCACTGCCATATAGTACAATTTGTTCAATTATTGATTTGAATGTTTGAGCCAGATTTGGATTGGGATATCAATTTTAATTGATCTTTTTTATGGCATAGAAAGCCCTTTGAGCTTTCTCTTTGAGCTCATTCACAGCCAAAGTACAGTTACCCGTTGAGGTGATTTTTAGGCCGAGCTGATATGTTTTTGTGGTTTCAGTGGTTCTGTGTGATAGTGTGAATGTGTGTGTTAGTCCCTGAGGTCTGGAGCGGTTCTGAAAGATCATGACTTTAGTTTCTTGGAGGTTTACTGTCAGGGCCCAGGTCTGGAAGTAACTCTCCAGCAGATTCAGGCTGTCCAACAGGAGAACCAGG